GATACAGTAAGAAATATTTATGGGGCCTAATTGTGCATTTGGGCAATGGCTCCATAGCATGCCCAGAGGAAATAACTACTGCAAAATCAAATTCCTTTATAGAGAGCATGACAAAATGAAAGCACCACTTTCGGCCATTAAAACGTGGTAACAATCTCATCACATTTCCCGCTTTTTCAATGCATTAAATAGTGTTATAAATAAGTTAGGTGTAAACATTCCAGAGCAAACAATGGATGACCTGAATGTGGTCATGCAGCTTCCTTAGCACCAGCTTGTTAAAAGAATGAACATAAAGCTGTGCACAGAATTATCTGATTATTAACTATACAGTGATTACTTATAGTCAGATCAACTTTGCATGATTCATACTCTCCATGCAGTGTGTCATATGTAGGTTAATGATTCATCAAATTCCTCTCATATACATACAGGAACCAAAAATGGACCACTCCACTGATATTTGCAAGAAGACCACAATAGTGAAGTGTGATTATGACACCCTGCCCACTGCAATAATGCAGCATTACTGTTTTTCCACCTGGTGAACTTTTAAACCTCTGGCATGCAGCAACTGTTTGTACATTTTCTGACCCAGCAGCTGTCAGAGGAATTTACCATGTAGAGACTGAAAGGAGAAGCACTGATGGGCAGCATGCAGCTCTGGCCACCCCCCTCAGCCCCAAAGATCCTACAGAGGTGCAAATGAGATCATGCTGCTGCAGAGAAAAGATTTAACTGGCTTTTTAAATGCCAGAAAGGATTTTAGGTTAATAGGATTACAAAGATGGATGAGTGCTTATTTGTGTGAGAGTCTCACCTCTATCACTGTTGGAATGGATATACTGCTAGAATTTAGTTTTAAATTCACAGGTCTGTTTTTTCTCTTTGAATATGCATTGTGTGTATCCTACCTGTGCTGATAATTTTTTTTTTTTTTGCTTCTCTGTACAGTGCTGTAGAAGAAAATACATCCAATATCACAGGTCACATGACAGGTAGCCAGGTCTCGTTTATAAAATATGCTCATGTAAACATTAAAACTTATCCTATGGCTTGCTGATGGCACAGTTTCCAGTGATTTTCTTTGCTGTTGTTTGGTTTTCTTCCATTTAGATTTGTGCAGTGATGAAACAGACAACTCTCCTCCGTTTCAGCTTCACACACTCAAGCAGTTTGAACAGGTGAGATGATGTCCTTGACCTTCAGCATGATTAGAAACACTGTAGGGGAAAGTAGAGTCTGTATCATAGTACTGAGGCAGATGAAAATGTGCTCTACAGTGCCTTTTTGTGGATCCGTGCCTTACTACAACATATAATGATCTGATTTGGGTTGCTTAAGCATCCTCTTTGTAGAATCAGAACACGATATGTTGAGCAAATCAGTGGTATTTTAACCAGAAAGCTGGAATACCTTTTTTTTAAACAATCCATAGAAAAGGAGAACACTTGCAGTTGATGATATCAGAAGGAAAACACCATGACCCCCCTGGTGTTTTGAACCAGCCTCTGGCCACAGCATGGCCCACTTCAGGTTTTCTCATCTGGTGTTTGTACTATTATTGGACATTGTACCAGCCACATTTTACAAAAAGAATATATTAAATATTCCTTTTATTGTTTGTCCATTCAGTCATGACAACAATCATTTATGCTTGGGCAAGTAACTGATCCCTACAAACTGTAGGACCAATGTTGTTGATGCACATCGAGTTAAAATTAATGTATTTAATTTTGAGGAAATTAATGAGAGTCCCAAAGTTGAGGAATTATCAAGAATATAAATTTGAACCAAATGACTTACCATACTGTTGGTAATAATAATAAAATCAAAAGAGGGTGGATGGAACTTGAAATAAGATGTTCTGAAATGTCACTGAAAGCAGTAGCACAGTTTCTGTAGCTGTTATGAATTTACATGAGCACTATTATACACTTTTTAATTGTCATTTAAGATGGTTGTGCGGACAAAGCTAGTTTTATCTGCTGGTACATAAAATGATTAAAGTTAGACATTTTTAAGAACTAAGTTAATTTGCTTTTTTGCCAAGAGTTTGAGAAGGATGATGTGCTTTTATATATGAAACAAGCACTGGGAGAGAAGTTAGCTTAGCTTAGCATAAAGACTGGAAGCAGGGGGAAACAACTAGCATGGCCCTGCCCAAAATGGCAAAATACATTAACACTTAATCTTGTTAGTTTTAATTTGTAGACAAACCAAACTTTGTGATTTTAGAGAGAAATATGTAATAAACTGATGAACAACAGTTTACCCATTCACCCTATACCTTACAATGCCTGATCTGAGGAAGTTTGTCTCAGCACGTAACCCTCCTTCAAACCACAATTTGTCACTTTACATTTTTGTTTGTATCTAATTATAAAATACTAAGTGTCTCCCAGCTCTAGCTCCACACAGTAATTAGTAGCTCCTAAATGCCATTGCCATACCATCATGGATTTTTTTTTTATCCATTGTCTATTAGTAACCTCATATAGTGTATCTACTGGTTCCATCTGCAGCTGTGCTTCCAGTAAAATAGCACTGTTTACATAAGTATAGCTGATTAGCCTCTGAAATACCATGTACAATACAACACTTTCCTTCAGTACAGTTGATGTTTTACACATACAAGATCAGAAAACACATGAGTCAAGTGCTAAGCTTGTCAGTGAAAACTCACCACCGGTCCTGTCATATTATTCTGGAGGTTCTGCTGAGCCCTGTTAAAGCAGGAGATGTCACAAAGCTGAAGACACTACTCAAAACTGGAGTCACTTTCATGGCTGCCAATTCTTTCCAACACATGAACACAATCTAACACACAGCTTGCGCATATTTACACACCTTCACTCCTGTTTAGTTTTCATAAGGAGCTGAAATGTGTGTGAGAGGGTGTTGCTTTATCATGTGTGGAGGTGTTTACAGTAAAAATGCCATGAGCGTGACGTCATCCCTGATCTTGGCGTCTAGCCTATCTTTACTCTGAATTATTTAGCAACAGAATGTAATGCGACACTTTAATGGGCACACTCACTGAATGAATCAAGAACTAATAGTGACGTAGCTATGTGAAGGTAACGTCTCAGTCACTTTATTAGAGAGGCTTTTTGCAAGGGGCAGTCATGAAACCTGACATTATCCAAGGTTGTTACCCTTATTATGAGATCAGATGTAGTGGAGAACCTCTTCATCTGTTTCTTTCCTTTCTGTTCACTCATCTCTGAGGGAAGTTCAGGGATTCACCACTCTGTGAGATTCAGCACACCGCTCTATTAATAGCACTATGGCTCAGAGCTCCCAGGTCTCGTGTTTCATCCAACTTCTTTCCACTCACCTGTCTACCGCACTCTCATCAGCCGCTTTCATTTTATTTCCCCGTACTGGTTAGTTTCTGTCTCTGGGACCTTTATAGTCCCTTAGTTAATAGCTACATTAGTTGGGTTTGGGCCAAAGGTGTTCACAAAAACACCAAACAAGCTGCTTAGCGCTTTATTCAGACATAACCCACAACTGTGAGCAATGGTACACATGTGATATTTGCCTTACTGTATGTGTGAGATTGGACAATACATCAAGTCAATATGATGTATGAGGCCAGAGTCTTTTTTTTTCTACAACATGGCTGATGACCATGAGTGTGTTATAGGAGACGTTTCTCATGTTTAGGGCATTCTCCATAACAGTCATGTGTTGCAGTGAGCAGCTCACAAAGACGCACAACACCAGCAGCTTAGAAATAGTCTAGGATTAGATTGCAGCTTTTAAACTATCACTTCCTAGAGCGTCATGATTAGCGCAATATATGTAACAACATCCTATGTCATTATGTGATAATCTGCCTCTCTATTAATGTGTCTGTCATAAAGATCAGACTTCTGCCATGTTGAAAGCGATATGTAAATGTCACTAGGTGGACCTAGTCAAGATTTTTATGGAAAAGTGACCAGGGTGCACAGACATGAAGTCATTCAAATCCCATCATATTATTGAAAAGGAGTGCTTGTCTGAAAGGGGCTTCAGTGAAAATTCTCAAAGCTGGGTGAAATTGTGTAGTGTCTTCCCAAAGTTCAAACCTACATATGACTAGATTTTCTTGTTTCCTAGCTTATATCAGCATCAAAGAAACTGATTTATTTACTCAATGTGCAACATATCAAAATAAACCAAATCACTGAGATTGTCATGTCTCTAATCTAGTAAATGAAGGTTAGTCATTGTAGTTATATAACATGGAGACTGGTGTAGACCGAGTTTCAGTTGTTCTCCCAGTGGGACCAACCTATTCATTTAGAAAAAGAAGGAAGTGTTTAAACTGGACAGCTGAAATTTACCTTCAGTACATCTGAAAGGAAGTAGAATAAATGAAAATGACAAGAAAGGGACTCTCATCTCACTTCTTTCTTTCTCTTCATGTCCCTCCTTTTGACGCTCCTGGTTTGCAGAGGGGTGAGATTTCCCTCCATATCACAAGTGCCTGTGAGCCCTCAGCTTTTTACACCCTCCAATCTGTCCCTCCTCCCCTCTTCTCTCCCACCACCCATCTCCCATGGCAAACTGGGATTCCAGGGATGTCTCCTCCTATAAAATAAGCTCCTGTCCTGTCCCTCAGCAGACCAGAACGCACCATGGAGCTGAAATGGCTGTGTCTCTGACTGTCCGGGTTGCAGAGTAGCCCTCTGCAATGCAAACACCCCATTAGACTCTTTTGTGCATGTGTGTGAATGTGTTAGCTTTAGTGTGTGCGTGTGGTTTGGTATCCCGGTGGCATGTTAGAGACTGGGATACCACTTTGTAAATAATCCGGCTTTTTCAGATACAGCATCATGCGTTTTGGGAGAAGGAGGCAGCATGTCTAATGGTTACCGGACTCTAACAAAGGGACATGCCTTGACAGTCGCTGTCCTTTAAAATGGACCCCATGATATGGAAAGAGCAACTGTTCATTTTTGACTTATAACGGACATGTCAAGAAGCGTTGGTGCCCTTTGACGGTCATGTCTAACGGTTACCGTACTTTGTCACAGCACCTGAATGACCTGAAGAAGGAGAACTTCAGCCTCAAGCTCCGCATCTACTTCCTGGAAGAGAGGATACAGCAGAAGTACGAGGAGAGCAGTGAAGATGTCTACCGCACGGTGAGTAGGGCGGCTCCCCCTGAGGAATTGAATGGGAATCTGCTTGACTGGTGATGACTGGGACTAGAAGTGAGTGCTCTTCAGGGGCTAAGGGTCATTTGACTAACAACAAAATGATCAAAAAACACTTTTTGCTTTACTGGAAGATTTTGCATTGAGGACTCCTCTCAATGAGGAGGAAATCAAAACAGTTCATTTGTGTATCAATGATATGAGATGGCTGTTATCATGAAGAGTTGGTTTTACCGAGCCCCTTCCATTATTTGTTGACTCAGCTGTCACACTGAGCTGTTGAGGTGATGTGACCTGCCATGTGTTTGTTTTTAGATATGGCTGCCACATGATGGACTACACATTTCCTATCCTTTTGCTCAGGAACCTTTATATAATGCTATTGGTGTGCATGCCTGGCTGTCAGCTGTCCTGCAGGATTTCTGTTTCACTCTGTATTGGTTTCTGATGTTGGGATTTGTGAAGATTTTATGCCATTAAAACTACAATATGCAAATTCTGGAAATGAAAAAAATATTAAAAGAAGTTACATACTGTTAATTTAGGTTTGACTAAGTAGATTTAGTCTCATATTGAACTTATTAAGCAGATCAGCTATCAGCCAATGCCTTAGACTGCTTATAAAGATCAATCTAACAGCTCCCAGAAGTGAAGCCACTGCAAGTCGGTACCCCCCCTGGTGGCTGGTTGCAGTACAAGTCACTATAAGCAAGTTGCATGTGCCAGTCTGCATTCCTCTGTATGTGTCTAACATGTGCACCTACAGTAAGGTGACCCATCTCAGCTGTTGTCTGCTTGCACAAGCCAGGCAGCATTTAAAGTCTGTCTCCTTCTTTCTCCCATCAAAACAAATCCCTTCTGATAATCAATAGCTCTTTGATGAGAGAACTAAATGACCACCTGATGCAGCTGAAGAAGTCCCACTGCTTATCCTCCTCAGTTACTGCATGCCAGCAGTGACTGGGTGATCTCCCATCATTCAGATATACAACTTGAGTTTAACCCTTATGCTTCACAGTTTCTCACCCCGTCCCGTGTGACTAAAGGCTTTGTTGGTTGAGTGTCAGGACAGGGCAGCAGTGCTTTTGTCCTCCCTCCAAGACATATCAGTGTAATGTAGTAGGTGTGTTGGTCCTGGGCACACAGTGATCTCTGTCAGAGCCAAATACACTCTATTTATAGAGCAGGCTTGGTACACTGATTTATTTATCGCATGTATTCATACGAGTGTCCATGGGACACACTGTAATATGTTTGAAGTTTCTCCTCACACTATAGTTTGTTACGTTTACAGATGTTGTTTGATTATGAAAGAGAGAAAAACAGAAATTCACTGATTTCTAAGGCAACAAATGATTATTCATACAGAAAAATCTGCTTATTATAATTCTGATTAATCACTTGTTTATAAAATGTCAAAAGATCCTGAAAAATACACATAGAAAATGCTGTCTCAAACCCAACAGTATTCTATTTATAGTGGTCTATGTATCTATATATCTATGACAATTGTCATTTAATTTTTGTCATTTAATTTAAAGTGACACAACTAGATCATATAATCCTTTAGTATGGAATAAAACAGAATGAACAGGCTCATCATTAGATGAACTAAAGGTAGATGGTCTGCCGGTGGAAGGTCGTTACATTCCAGATGTTTGTTTTTTATGTTTGATAGTCCTGTTAGTGTTTTAATTACAGTGATCCTCCTCAACATGCACTGCCTGGTTATAAGTGGACCTGTTGCTGAGGGGCTATCAGGCCATGAGGGGCCAAAATAGCAGGTGCACTGTGATGGGTGTCTATATATAGAGCTATTTTTGAGATGGGAAAATGTCTCTCCTACTGTAAACCAAGTTGTTGACACACACAGGAATATATGTTCTTGTGAGTAGAAGCTCTTGGAGAGCGATAGGGGAAGGTCAACAGACTTGGACATGCATGAAGGGGTTCTTAAACACAGAAAGGAAGAGTGAGCAAAGGAGAGACAGGGACAAGGACAGAGAGGCAGCCAAGCAAGTTGATGGACAAGAGGTGGTCGACAGTCTGAAATGAAAGCGTGACAAACAGCAGCGATAAAGGTGATTAGCTAGTGAGATCAATTATCTGACGTAAGTCCAGCAGATAGACAGACAGATAAACTATCCTCTCTCTTGTCTGAGGTCGGAATGGAAAGAATAGCAATCTCGATCCCAGTGTGTGAATCCTCTGTCCCCTAACCCAATGTAAGAGTACAGATTGGCCCCTAAAATGTCCCCTGCAGACCCCATGCAGGTAAACAAACTATGGAGTTTAGCCTTTGGCCCCAGGGGTGAGTATCTGAGCTGCCCTGAATTCTCTAGCTCTAAATATACCAGTCATGACAGCATGGTCAGATGTTCTGTACTGATGATACACAACACCCACCGGCCTTGATTAACAAAGCAGAGAGATGGAGAAGTGTAGTGACTGAGGAAACATGGCAAGTAAAAGCTTATCATGAGGGAGAGAGGAAGGATAGTAGAGATTCAGTTAACTGAACCACAAGGATACAGACGATCACTTTACCTAACCCAAAATAGTGATGTGTTTATGACCAGATTTTGCCATTTTGTAGTTTTGCTTTCACTACTTATATCTTTATATGTCTTACTGTAGTCACAATATGCCAAATGTGCACTTTAAGCATGCAATTACCTTTAGGGGATGTAGAAGATCACAAAGTTAGTATGCGTTGTGTTAGGACCAAATAAATGTTATTTCCATTGTCAAATGAATTATTATTTTCCACAGGCCTTATCCACACAGGCGCTTTCAGTTTTGGCTAATTACACGACATAGCTCTAATCAGCTAATTAAGTAAAAGCACTTGTGTGGGTGAACCATAGGTGTGTAGGGGTTTCATAGTCACACATTTTATGTTAAGTAAGATACTTGACATCTCAGCCTCATAAGGAATTACTAGACAGTAATTTAAAATGTTCACCAACTGAGTTAGCACTGCTGAGTGCTGTCTGTTTGCAGAGTGTTTGTTTTGAGAAAGTGCTTTTTGTTTGATACTGTAATTTTTTTAACATCGGTTTGGACGAGGCTGTAACCTAGTTTGAGCAATGCCTTTTACGAGGCTGTAAGAGCTGTGATCATTATGTCACAGCTGCAAATGGCCACTATCCACCATCACTGGCAGTGTCGCTACAAATGGCTGAGTTGTTATGTTGCTGGATGAGATGATGTGCGATGTGTAATGAACACGTGACTGATTGAATACTTGAACTTACTGATCTCCATCTGTTGCAGAACATCGAGCTGAAGGTGGAAGTAGAGAGCTTGAAGCAGGAGCTCCAGGACAAACAGCAGCTTCTGGACAAAGCCCTGTGAGTCCACACATTAATCATTAGTTTCTATTGTTGTGCCGTTCCAGGGCCTACCTTGGATAACTGGAGATTTTTTTGTCTGTAAGTGTGAACTTTGGTGTTAAAGTGGTTCCCTTCCCTATATAGCTACATTATATAGAACAATTTAGTAGATGGTCTCTCCTGCCTGTCAAGCCTTCATTCATTTTGTTTCCTTTGACTTTTATAAATACATACATGTAGTAAAAATATTTTTACTACATGTCATGTGAGAGACACATGGGTATTCTCTCCCCATTGTGTGCCTGGTTTCTGTTCAAAATCAACTGTTGTTTCAGGTTATTTGTCAGATTTTGTGCAGTTTAAGCTGGAGAAATCAAGTTAATGAGATTTAAAGGCATTTATTTTTGTTTTTTGACATTGTTCATTCATTAAACTGATGTTCTCTATGTGCATGGCTTCTTTAGCTCAAGGACAGAGCTTGAAACTGCTGCAAGGGTTTAGTAGACTGTGTGGGTTATGGCTTATTCTTCTTAATTATTTGGTCTGAATTACTTACATTTGAGATACTGTAAAGTGAGAAACGTTCATCTGCTGAAATTGACAAGAGTTGCTGCTTAATGGTCACTGTTGTTGACCTTTAAAGGGGTGTGGTTTAACACTGGCCAGCTGTTGGGGCTCTTGGAAAGGATACATTGGTTCTTATTACTGGTCTCTATTTTGGCTGCTGTTGTCAGTCCCTCTGTGCACATTTTTTGCTGTAGCATTGTTTAAGATAACAAGTGCTCATTGTTAGCAGAGTTGATGACGTACCCGGCCTAGGAGCTTCAGCCCCTTTATTCACTCAAACTGTGAAAAACCTAGGAGTGTTATTTGACAGGAGCCTCAAATTTGACAAGCAAATTAGTTCTGTGGTCAAAATAAGCTTCTTTCAACTGAGGCTCCTAGCAAAGGTGAAGCCCTTTTTATCTTGAGTTGACCTAGAAAAAGTCAATCATGCCTTCATTAGCTCACGCCTTGACTACTGCAACGCCCTCTACACTGGAATTAGTCAGTCTCTCCTCTGTAGGCACCAACTAGTAGAGAACGCGGCCGCTCATCTACTGTCAAATACGCCAAAGTATGCTCACATCACCCCGTCCCTCAGTCTCTTCACTGGCTTGCAGTACAGTTTAGAATTAATTTGTTTTTTGTTTGTTTTGTTTGTGTTCAAGGCCACTAATGGCCGTGCTCCAGCCTATTTAACCGATCTTTTAACTATTCATACCCCGGTCAGAGCGCTGCGCTCCTCTGAGCATTTGTCTCTGGTTGTCCCACGGGCAAGGTACAAAAAGTGGGATGATCATTCTTTTGCCGTATGTTCTCCCAAGCTCTGGAATACCTGGCATCCTGAGCTTCAGTCTATAACTGAGTTAATGGTTTTTAAGTCTAAATTAAAGGCACACCTATTCAGACTGGCATTTGGCATTTAATTTATAGCAGTGATGCTATACAGGTGCCTACAGGCTTTCTGATTTTATATTCTGTAATCTTATTGTTTGTACTTTGACTCATTTTTATTGTACAGGAGTTTTATAGTTGCTTACAGACCTTGGTTTTAACTTTATGTAATTTTAACTTTTCCTTTTTGTTAGTTTATGTGTCTTAACATGTTCTGTTTTTATTTTAATATGTTTTGTTGTGAAGTACTTTTAACACCCTTGGGTGTTGTAAAGCGCTATATAAATTTGATTTGATTTGATTTATTTATTCTTTCAAACATGTAACAACAGTCAGTATGTAATCACACATAATTCCAGACATGTCCACAAAAATATTTTCAATTTGCTTATACCTAGTACATGCTTGAACGGAGTAGAAAGAAGTCAGACTTATCCAGTCCTACCCCATGACATCATCTTACCATCATTAGTTTGCAAGCAGTATTACTACATGGATATATATTCTACATCCACATTCCCGTCTGATTAATCATTAAGCCTGTTCTTGCATATATCTTGATTGACACATACCTTTATATCTGTGTTTAAACTCATCAATATTCTTACTCCTTTTTATGTCCATACCTAAATTATTCCATAGTTTTACTCCACTTATCAAAATACAGAATCTTTTTTTGGTTGTACGTATAGCATGAACTTTATAATTTAACTGACCATTTAGATTGTATCCCCCTTCCCTTTCATCAGATAGTTTTTGAATTCCACCAGGTAATAAATTGTTCCTGGCTTTATACATAAACACAGCAGTCTTATATCCCACTAAGTCAAAAAATTTTAACAATTTAGACTGTATGAAAACTACATTGGTGTGATCCCTGTATCCCAGCTTATGCACAATTCTTATCACTCTTTTTTGTAATATATACAATGGTTGAAGTGAGCTTTTGTATGTTTATTATTATAATTGTTATTATGGTTCTTATCTGCAAAGCAGTTGCCAGTCTGCTGCATATTCTGTGTTTTTGGTGTCAACCTCATCATTATTCCACTTCACATAAAGAGACAGACATTTACATTACTCAGACTGGTTCTAAATACCCAAGTTATTTGAGCTGTTGCATGTGCTGCACAGAGTTAAAAATGTATGTAGAGAGGGTCCAGAACAGGACTGATGGCGACAGAGTGGTGTGTGCCATTCTGGGAGCAGGAATTCTGGCATAGGGCGGTTGACTGACTAAGTGTTATAGACAGATGCTTGCACAGTTGTACCCTGTGTCCAGTTGGACTTATGTCAGGAGCCACATAATGTGGTTGTAGGAGGACACGGACAAATGGGTTGTGTGTGAGGAATTTTACATAATGGCCACAGTCCAGGTCCCTGGTAACACATTGCATCCACTGCTGTAAAAACATCAAGCCTTTCACTGCTTTCAGACTGTGTGAACAGCATCTCTGAGAGAGTGTATGTTAGCTTTATGAAAATGATTACCTCATCTCTGCCATAAGTGGAAGGGTAATGGATATCGCATGAGACAAAGTGATGACGGCATATTATTTCTTGGCTCTTGCTGATGTCTCCATCTTGCCCTAATGCTGTCCCCTATGAATAAATTTGTGTGCATAAGCACTGAATTGATGTGGACTGTATTCAGTGTGATACCTGATCAATGAGGTGATCAAGTCTAATTCTCCTTCCTCTTTGACAGCATAACAGCAGAGAACTTGACCAATCACAATGAGGCAGAGCTGCAGAGACGGTGTCAGGAGAGACAGCAGGAAATCGACCACATGCAGCAAGTGCTTGAGACCAAAATCCAGCTCCTGCAGGAGGTTGGTCCTCTTACACCTCCAGCTATTCAAACTGACACACAGGTGCCTCAGATTAACAAATCATAACAGTTTCGCTCCTTGTGTGTCTTGCAGGAAGCCCAGCTAGCACGCAGCGAGGCAGAGCGGATGGCCTCACTGGCTGGATCACACTCTCATACGTCCCTCCACTCCCTGGACACCCCCATGGAGGACATCCCAGAGGATGAGAGGCCTCCCAGCATCCTGTCCCCATCCAACACCAACAAGGACAGGTGCAAAAAAAAATCTTGACAATCACCAACATCAGACAAACCCAGTCCATCTCCAGGTGGCACTGACCGCACCTCTGTCTGTGTTCAGGGTAATAGAGCAGCTGACTAAAGAACTTCACTCCAAGGAGGCCCTCATCACAGACTTGAGCAGAGAGAAGACAACTCTCACACGCAGAGTGGGAGAACTAGAGGGTCAAGTCCAGGAGCTGTCTTCATCTTTGCTTCAGAAGGACAAGGATGTTGAGGTATAAATGCTTTTATATGTTTTGCTTTCAGTGACAAATAACATCAGAAATCCTCTTTGGTGGCATCTCTGCAACTAAGACTTGGCAAATGAGGACTAAAACCTTGCTATATGCTTTCTGTAAACGGAATAAGTGTAGGACTCGGTCAGTAAATGTGTTATGATCTTTTTCTTCATCATGTAAACAGTGTAACAGCCAAAATTTATTACTGCATTCCTCTGGGCCACGATGTCTCTCCTGGTCAGACCTCCTTGTTACAAAGAGGCTCTTGAAGCAGCACATGTGTAGGTCACAAAAGATGTTGGCACAAACTATGACTTTAACATACACACTCCAAAATATACAAGGTCATATGATGAAACAATATTTCTGTCCAGATTTATTCATTCACATTCCCGTTTATTCTCTTCCTCTGTAAATCTTAAGGTTAAATATAATTAGTGATTTTTCATTTCTGCAGTGAGAACATACTGTACAGTAGGTTTATAATACATCTTCTGTGTTACACAGTTCTATCAGGAGGAACTCAGCCAAGAGAGGCTGCGCATCGAACAGGAGATGCAGGTAGGTAAACTCTGGTTCATTATCCTTCTTCACTAAGTGCCAGAACAGCATCACTGTTCCCATTATTGAAGTCCAGAGTACTTTGTTAGACAGACTCTGCCTCCTTATGGAGAAGTGACACACAGCATTTTCACACAAGGTTCGACAACTGCAGATAAAAATTTGAATTTGTTAAACTGCTTGTTGTTTTACTTGGACCTATAGTAAAAGAAAAGATGGAGATGGGAAATTCACAATGTGACCAACAAAATATAATTTACATGTATAGTAAAATAAAAGAAAACGCTTTGATATAGAACCAACCAACTGCATCTAACCAACCATCCATCCATCTATCCATTAACTAAGTCACTCATCCTGTAAATGGTCCAACTGTATCTGAATTGGACCAAATTTGTCACATTTTGCCACAAGAAAAAGCACAGTAGTAAAAATAATTTAACCAAAACTCTCTCTGCGGAATGTGCAACACAAAAACAGAAGCAGCATCAGTGTTGCTGAAAAAATCTAGTGTTAATGTCATGGCAAAAATTACAAAGTAATTGCGCAAAGTATTTATTTTTTAAAGGTATATGCTAGTTCATTGGGGTGCTCGTTAGACTAGTAAAAATTTTACATTTGGGGTGAGAAATAAGCAAAAACTTTTCATTGTCAGGGTGGGTGGTACAGGACATATTGAAATGTTTTAAAGTTTGAAAAAAGTACTGTGCGCAAACACCCTGAGATGAGCTGAAACTTTGCTCGTCCTTGTGCAGTCTAAACCTGGATGCTTCATGAATCACTGTGACCTAGTTGCATATTCCAATCTGATGCAAATAACATGACACAAAAAAAGGACTATGTGCTAGTAAACCTGCAACAGATGGAGCATTACCTGGGTCTTCACCTGCAAGCGCAGTTCATCTTAGGGTTTCTGTCATCACACAAAGTGCCACAATCTCATTACATTAACAGGCCAGAGTAAATCCTTACATTTGTTAGTTCAATAAATTAATAATCACAGTCATAGTGCCTAACCATTTAACCATTTAGCTTACTGGCCTGTGCAAGGCTGGTTCTTGTTATTTGGCAATAGCCTGAATGTGGCACAGTATTTGTTGCAAGCATATTGTTGCTGCATGAGTTTCTCACAAGCGGTGTTTCGTTTTCAGGGTGCCTCTGCAGGCATTTTAACTTGTAAATCAGTTTTGGATCAAGGATGCAAATGTACTCGCCAGGGAGGCTCTGTGCTCAGATTTCACACACACAGCCTGTGCATGTGTGAGAGTGTCCCTCTCTCTTAGTACGCCCTGAACGCTGAGTTGTACTCTATGTTCACTGTTGGACAACTAGTCTGTATAAAGCATTTAATTACTAAGGAAACAGTGTCTTAGATTGAGGTAGTTATAATTTATATATGTTAAGCATTTTGTGCATGAAGCTATATAGCCTTAGCATGAGCACAACAAGGAGATGTAGTGGTTTTTTTCTGAAGGTGAAATGCCTGTGTTGACATACTGAGTTGTCGGTCACTGCAGAGGACATATGACTTGGCAAAATTAGAGGGAAGTCACAGTTATTAGATAAGGGGTGTATGTGCAAGAAGTTCTGTTGAGACTGCAGCACTAAATGTATACATGTATATAACAGTGGTCCTGTATTAGTTAAGAAGAATTTAGGAAACACTGGTGGCAAAATATAACTAAAACAAAATAGGTTTGTCACATATTTGTACTGCAGTTACAATAAATTAATCCAAATGTGGACTGCATGACTGTTATGCAACTTACTGTGGAGCTATAGTGTAGCTAGGTTTTACAGCAATAACAGGAAGTGTTCTGTACACCGCTGAATTTCCATCTCCTCTCAGAGATCATGGGAGGATCTGTGTGTGTGTGTGTATGTGTGTGTGTGTGTGTGAGCGTGTACACATTCCTGTCAGTTGCCCTCTTTCATATGTGCATGTGCATGCAGGCATCTTCCTGGTTAGCAGTTTAGCAGGTCTTGTTTCAGCCGGGTCGTCGATAGGTCAGGTCGACTTCTGAGTGCTCAGCAATATCAGGTTGAGTTGTTTCAGACAGACACCCACCATACCACCTCTTAATTAGTTCCCCAGACACCACAGCCATTTAGGTTCAATCAATGTCTGGAGAAAGAGGAGGCAGGACAATTATTTTCTGAAACCTCTTCATACAATTATTTCAGTTTCCTTTTGAAGAATAACTTGTAGTAACACTGTAACTAAATTGTTTATATGTTTTGACATTTATTTGTGTTTATAAACACTGTATTTCACATCTGATTATACAGTATAAAATGTTACAAATTAGTGAGAAAAGCCGCTTCCAAGGTTTATCCTAACGTGACCTTTTCAGCTTGTATTTTTTGTCAGACCAAAATTCAATAATATTCAGTCTATTCAATATTATAACATGGACTAAATGGAATAAGGATCCAGATAATGGAGCTAGTCTTTCTCTCTTTTATTTCTCCCTTCTGGTAACTGTATAGCAACAACAGAATACAGGATATCTAGCTGACAATGATTTTATAATAGGACAGAATAGGATCTGATATAATGTTGTAGCGTACTGGGGGAGCCAGGGGGAGCGCTATGTACACACACACGTACACACACAGGGACATACCATTCCAACTTTGGGTTGGAGAGTTATAGTGCCGGTTGGTGGGTTTTCTATACAGGTTCTGATGTTCAGTGTTGTGTTCGGGGAGAATAAAAACAGAGGCTATCCGGGGTAGTGCGTTGTTTGGGGCATGGGAACCTGCATAAAAAGACAGCCTGACTCCAGTGTCATTCCGTGGAAGATTCCCTAGAGCCCACTGGCTTGCCACAATATTATATTCCATTGTATTGCATACAGTAGTTTGTACAGCGCATGCGGTGCAGTAATGTGTAAACCCTGTACAAAAATAATTTAATATATTAGGCCTAACCTTGTACAACATGCTGCGGCAATACTTCATGGCCACACCATTTAAAAAATCATTTGGGGAAAAAGAATGTTTGGCTTGTTATAATTTGTATTTAATTTTACAGACTGCCACTAATATCGCCCTACTACTGCGCGTTTCACCTGTTCAGTCGGGCGAGCACAGCGCTGTAAACCGGACGGGAGGAAGTAACACTTCCGGAGGAACGACACTCTGTTTTTCTACCGATTTAATCAAAATTAATGCCCATATCGCTTAATTTGGTGTTTTGATCTGCGTTGTAACATGCAAAGTTGTCGTTCTGAACCGGATTCATAGTGAATATTAAACCGTGAGCATGCCTGTATGACTGCACCGGGCTTCCCTACCCCCGCTTTCCCTGAATGGTGCGCTCCGCCGCTGCAGGTCTGGCTCAGGCAGCCACATCTTCATCTGCCCGGAGGATGTCCGACAGCAACGAGAGTCTGATTTCTCCGTGTATGTGTGTATTTCTGGCTGTTGGTAATGGCTCTGAGATGAATGGTCTCTTCCTCGGACGCAGACAACGGTGAACGAGCCAGACTGTCCCAGGACGCCTGTCGCTGCTCCGTGTCTGCGTAAAGGGCAGTAGATTCTTAGCGATTCCCGGGCATGATGAACCTGTCAACGCACGGTGGCTCGTGCGTCCGTGACAGCCAGGTGATGGTGCAGAGCCACGTGTGGTGCTGGTAAAAAAAAAAAATGCGAAACAGCGGTTTGGAGACCGACGATCTACAGCTGAATACTGCGTCTGACTGAGACATTTACATGAGTCAGTGTGTGTCTGTGGGAGTATGCGCCATATTCCCGATACACCTGCGCCTCCAGCAAATGAACAGTGATCCTGGGCTGAATCTTTTAATGAGAGAAAATCTATCCATCTGTTTTCACCTCATGTGCAGCCATTTTCTGTCGAGTATTACTACCTCTTGTCTACCTCATCTCGTGTGTCTTTAAGCCAGTTTGATGCCACAGTGTGGACTGGTTTCATGAGGAGCTTTACTGTGTTTCAGATGAAGGCTTTTACTGTGATCTAAAGGCATTTGTTCACTCTAAAGAATGAGCATGATGCTCATTTGTGTCTACATGGACCCATTTTAGTCATAATGATCCAAGTGTCCTCATGTACTGTAAGCATAAATAAGACCTTCTGCCACTGCTTGATAATTGTAAGCCTGTGGAATGCTTGATCTGAAGATGAAGGAGGCGTGCCGCATCTGTGGACGGGAGCTCTGTGGTAATCAGAGGCGATGGATCTTCCACCCTGCCGCCAAACTCAATCTGCAGGTGCTGCTGTCTCATGCACTGGGGCAAGAGCTGACTCGGGATGGCAGAGGAGAGTTCGCCTGCTCCAAGTGTACCTTCATGTTGGACCGCATGTACCGCTTTGACACAGTCATTGCCCGTGTGGAGGCCTTGTCGATCGAAAGGTTGCAGCGGCTTCTGCAAGAGAAACATCGGCTGAGACAGTGCATCAGTGGGCTCTACCGGAAAACAAATTCAGAGGAGACGGCAGTAACAATCAGTGGAGGTACTGAAGGGCCAGGGGATGGTATGGTGGATATATCAGGTCTCACTCATGCAAAGTACTGTGCCCTGCTCCAGGATGATCTCGTCTACTCTTTGTATGAGTCCTGGGCAGATGATAGTCTAGACTGCCCCCACCACCACCACCACCAGTGTCCTGCAGGTCCAGGGTCAGAGGTTACAGTGGCAGGCCCACAGCACTGTGCCCCCAGCACTCCCAGGAGGTGTCGGGCATGTTCATACTGGAGGGTGGCAGACTCTGACTATGAAGCTGTTTGCAAGGTGCCCAGGAAGTTGGCACGGAGTACTTCCTGTGGGCCATCAACCAGATATTCAGCCAGTGTTATCGCAGGTAGTGTGACTGGAGGAGACAGAAAAAATGTGGACGATTCAGAGCAACCCCCCTCCTCTCTAACACTTGTCCCTGGTTCTCAGGACCCGTCGAGGACATCAGACGGTGATCGCACTCTGGCTGGACGAGCTAGCTCCAGCCCATCTGTAACCTCCCTGGAGACAGCCGAAGGATACATTCAGCCTGGAGCAGCAGCAGATGGTCCTCTGGGCTCCCCCAGAGAACCAGTGGATGACCGGATATTGGATTCAGTTTTTGAAGAGAACATTGGGATCCCACATGGCCAGTCCTCACCTGGGCCCAGCCTGTCACTGGCCCTCTGTGTGCTGCAGAACTGTGCTGTCTACCAGCCAGTCCAGAGCCCCAAAGGGAGTAAGCTGCCAGTGCTGCTTAGACGGAGCTCAAGTAATGGAGGCATTAGGCTGGGGTTCCCTAATCCTGATCTGGGAATGTTTTTTGGAGAAAGAGACAGCCACATACCAATACTTGAACTGGAGACCCCCCTGAACAAGATGGATGTCAAGGTGGATCAGATGGCTGATGTGGAGGATTTATTAGAAAATTTATACAAAGAGTGTCCTCCCCCACCTTCCCACCAGGTATAAAACCTTTACAAGGATGGTCATGGTGCACAACAGAAGAATTTCACTACTGCAGGATGATGAAGGTTGATGGAGTAGTGAATTTTGCCTATATACTGAAGTATCTGCAAAGTAAACCAACCCAACATGCTTTGATGTTTGATATACTGTATAAACAATGCAGCCTTCCCACAAAACAATATTCTCACCACTTTTTCTTGCTTAATTAACCACATAACCAAGCTGTCAGTCACACAAATCCTGTCTCTCTTGCGAGCTTTTGCCCAGGAGGGTTTGAGCTACAGCGGTATTTGTGTTCTGCATACTTGTCTGTGTGGGAATACTTTACATCACCAGTCAGGTGTGGATAAGCGGTGACACATGGCCTACTTTGATATTGTGTGTCCCCATGTGCATGTACAAAGAGTTCCTTAGTCGTGACAGTAAAGCAGAGTTAAAGCACAAGCATTTTTTTTTTACAATTTTGTGAGTGTAAAATATCATCACATTTGAAACCAAGATGTAGTATGTAAATAAATCAGTGGTTTGAGATGAAGATTTGAAGAAGGTGAACAACTTCCATTGTAGCTGTTAAAGCATGATTACAGCTTGCAGACAGATGGGCCTCTCATTTCTTCGAGTTATTAAATATTAATATTACAATATTATAAAGCCAGCATCTTAAATTTAATAACCCTTGGTAATAGCTTTTGGAGAATGTGCATTCATCTCAATAAAAGTTTGAGCCGTGGCTGCTGACTGAAGTAGGTTAGGTGGGGAGACCTAAGACAGACTGGCTCCACTGTTGACCTATTTTCATTCAGAGCCCTTGAGGCAAAATGATCCACGCAATGTCAGACCACCTCGTCATCTCAACACTGGTTGGCTAGTACAGTAACTCAATTTAAATGATTTGTTAACTTAATTTGGAAAGGAAAAAGCTAATTACAATGAAAATCGAAATGTATTTAATTTAACCCCAGCTATGTTAAACCACTTATAGTCATGGTGAATAAGCCAGCCATCATAAAGATATTTGTTTCATAGTCTGTGAATGTTGGATTTATGGTTATGTAAAGAGAACAGTAGCACAGATCACTTTACACATCTCATGCACTCACTCGCCACTCCAGCAGGGCTCTCCTAGTCATAGCTTTTTAGGTTTGCACATGCAAATGAGTAGATTTTTTAAAAATGTTGTACACATACAGTAATCCACTGTGGTAGTTAAGCAAATTTCAGCCTCTGTATTTTTTATGAATTTTGAGACAAGTAATTCAGCTGCTGGATTTGGTCTAAACCAGTAAACATACTGTATAGAGTGAGCTGTTTTTATAAACAACTAATTTCTTTCACTCCTTTTATTACAGAGTCTTGTTGAGGAACAGCATAGTCAACTGAACCAGTATGAATGTGCAGCTGGCCAGTGTGTCAGTGAGCTGCAGAAGGCCCAGCTCCAGGTCCAGTCTCTGCAGGCCAAGATCCACGAGAGCGAGGCCAACAATATGGTATGGCACGTTAAATGGCCCATTACAGCTGGATATGTTTTATTATAGCACACCTGAGGCCTGATGGCAGTCTGACACTGTCTGTAGAAGCTGCAGGAGAAGCTGAATGAGATGGAGCACGAGCTGCGTTCACTGCGCCAGGCTTCTCAGAGCCAGGAAAGAACCATTCAGGATCTGACTGAGTCCATCAGTACCAAAGACAGCGAGGTGTGCTTTTTTTGTACTCAAGTATTTGTAGCAGTTGTTGTTGTTGTTGTTGTAAATAGTAAATGAACAAAGGCCAAACCAATGTGAAAGGACAGTGTATTTGTCCCCATGCTAATGTTTCATTCTGCTTAAAGGCCCAGGAGCTGTACCAGCTGATTGAAGGGCAAAACACCACTCTTTGTAAGCTGCGAGAAATGGCCCACCGCAATCATCTTGCTCAATGCAAGGTGAGACCTGATTCACATGAAGTGGTGTGAACCCTAATCCAGAATCACTGATGACTTATGTATCCAGGCTGATGGCGTGCTGTCTAATCTAGGTGTGTGGTCATTCTTTTCCCAGGCTCCAGAGGGGGCCAGTGAGTCCTTGACTCTGGCTCAGCTGCAGGGTGAGCTGGTGAGGGTGCAGAGCTCTCTGTTCTCCCTCGGTCTGGAGCTGGAGGCCAACCAGCGGAGTCTGAGACAGAGCCAGAGGCAAGGAGAAGACCTGGTACGGCTCAAGGACAGACTCAACTCTGATCTACAAGAGGCACTGCAACACAGGGAGGTCACTGAAAAACACAACCAGGTTAGTGTGTTTGTGATGGTGAATAAACCAAACATTCATGAGTATTAATAAAGCAGCATGTGGAAACTGTCTTCTCTTTGCTGCAGGACCTGCGCTGTGCCCTTCAGAAAACTTGCTCTGAGCTTCATGCTAAAGAAGTAGCTCTGAAAGAGAGCGAGGCAGAGAAACACACTGCTTTGCAGGAAAAAGACAGAGGCATCGCACAACTCAAACACTCACTGCAGGACAAGGAGCGACAGTTACAGGTAACACACAGTCCCACACACTCTACATACATACAGTATGTAGAATACAGATTAGTACACTTGCACAGATTTCTGATTGTATCTAAAAATCTTTACATTTG